AACAGAAGAAGAAGCCCCCGCCGCCATAAAAGACCACTTCAACTGTCCCAAATGTAATAATGATAAACACATGTGTGATGATTTGCTTCAGCAGATAGAGGCATTCGGTGAAGATGGAGAGGAAGACAAATTGAGGTTAGCAATGTTGCAATTGGTTGAGAATATCTTCTTGATGCGATACGTGAAAAAGAAATGCAAGTTTGAGAAAGAATATGTCAATATAGCTAAAACAAATATGACAACTTCTTGGAAAATTTACCAACACTACCATAATTTCTCAAGTTCTTTTTAAATATACCATAAATCTAAAAATAAAATTTCAATCTACCACAAGTCTTATACAAAAAGACAAATATACTCTCAATAAAATATTTCACTTTCTCTTCATATCCCTCCAACGCTTTCTCTCCATCCATCTTTTTTTTTCTCTCTCCTCCACAACTATCGTTTTTCTCTCGTTAATAGATACAAAGATGATGGTGGACGAAAAGAGAAACGGTAAACATAAACATAGACGAAGATGCTGACGAAAATGTAAACGTTGGCTGTGGACGGAGATGATGGTGGATGATGGACAAAAACGATGGTTAGATGGTGGACAAAGATGAATACAGAGACGGTGTTGGTTATGGACTGAGACGAAGATAGTGACGGTGGTTAGATGGTGGACAGAGATAGAGACGATGATTAATTGGGCTTGACCGCGTCTAGTTGGGTTTGTCCGCTCGGACAAAAAAAAATTATGGTCTACAGTTTGATCGGCCCATTTGGACATATGGGTTGCAGGCATAACACTGCATAACCATTGGTCGTCTGCGTACGCATATGACATGTGTATATTTGAAGAAAAATGTGAATTTATTAACTTTCTCATAATATTTGTTTTTTCATAAAGGTTTTTCAAGAGATTTATTTAAGGGTCAATTGGTGATATAACAAACAAAAAAAACTAGCTAATATTCTAACTAAAAACTCTAATTTTAATGATTAGGAATTGGCCACATAGGTACTTTTTCTTAGATTATTAGATATAGTTTTTTTTTATAGTTATCCATGCTAATTTTTCTTTATTTAATTAATTGTTGATTTA